CATTAATTATATTATCACAAATTTCAAGGTTTTACACAAAGTATAAGTATTTTTTATATAACCCAAAATGATAGAGTCTATTGTCTTAGGACCTACCTTCTTCCTTTTGTGTTCTGGGATTAGCATCTTTGCTAGACACCCCCACACTTTAAGGTATTTCAAGCTTAGCTTTCGACCTATCCAAAGTTCAAATGGACTACTTTCTTTATCTTTCTGAGGGACTCTATTCAGAAGATGGCAAGCCGTATTCAAAGACTCTCCCCATATATATTTAGGGAGTCTTGAACTTTCAAGTAAACTATTAATCATATCTTTTAAGGTTTTATTTTTTCGTTCAGCTACACCGTTAGACTGAGGAGAATAACGAACAATTTGCTCATGTATTATGCCAAAAGATTGACATAGAAGAGTGAATGCATTTGATATATATTCCCACCTCTATCAGATCTTAACCTTTTATGTTTCTTGCCAGCTTGAGTTTCATCTTTATTCATAAAAATGATAAATTTTTCTTGAGCCTCATCTTTAGTTTTGTGCAAGTAAACATAATAATATTTGCTATAGTCACCTATAAAGGTGATAAAATATTTCTTCATGTCTTTCCTCAAAACACCATTGAATTCAAAAATGTTAATATGAACTAAATCAAGTAACTCAGAGTTTCTATCAATAGATTGAAAATATTTTCTTGTTTGTTTAGTTGTTACACATACTTGACATTTCTTACTATGATCTAAAGAGTATTTTGGAATCATATTAAGATTTATCATTCTTTTTACAGAATTAAAATTAACATGACCAAGACGTTTGTGCCAAATATCTGATGATTCAATATTATTACTAACAGTATAATCAGAAATAGAAATTTTATTTGTTTCTAACTAAGAACAGGTTTTGTTATAACCTTATACATCCATCAAAATCATAGCCTTTAAAGATAAAAGATCCAGCATGTGACATAACTACTTTATTACATTTAAAAAAAACTCATAACCCTCCCTAACTAAACATGAACCACTGATGCGTCGAATAGCAGGAATATGATGCACCCTGTGTAATGATAGAACTCGCCCTGAAGGAAACTTCAGGTCATAATTTTGTGAGAATGACAAAGTTAGTCCTTATGAAGGATGAGATCGTAGTCACATGATTCCCTAGCCCCCCTCAAACCGTCATACAATTCTTGTGAACTAATTCCTCATACATTTGTGAACTAATTCTTAATACATTTGCGAATTGATTCCCTCAAATATACGAATTGGTTCCCTAAAATTGACCTGTCACTTAGAAATATGTTTGCTGCAAAGTTTCTTTACGTGCGCATGCGCAAGACACAAAGCAATTTTGTAATCAAGTGAAGGGAGGCGCACAATAAAATACATGAGCCAATGACTTTACTGTAACTAAATACTTACATTAATAAAATATGAAATGGAACCATGATCTCAACAAAAATTATGTGGAAAAGAATAGAAGAAAGAAACCAACTACATAAAAAAGAAGCATCTAAGTATTTTATACAAAAAATATTGAAATGCATAATTAGCTTTCTAGTTTTCCATTATATATTTTGGAAAACCATAAGCTAACCCAAGAAAAAGTTATAATGTACCATTAATCCAACTTGCGTACCAAAGCAAGCTATGCCCATCGAATCCAAATTTTTAAAGTGGTGAATTGCGTACCTGAATTCGTACAATAACCCAGTACGTATTGCCTACTGTGTAACTATGGATGAGATATTGACTTCAACAATAATAATATTTTGAGGACTCTTAAAGTAAATTGGAGTGTTTTAGATGAAATTATTTTGGAATTAGCTGAAGATGCACTTGATTCATGATGTTGTTCGTCTTCTTCCTGGAAATAAGAGACAAAGTAAAAATTCACACTTTGTGTTCTTCCTTTATTCTTCAATGTTGGAAATTTTATATAAAAGTAAAGATGAAATTCAGAAAGCATATTTGCAAAAAGGTCTATGTCAACCACAAGAACATAATATTCCACAAAATAATTAAATTTGGAAATGTTTTACGTTGTTTTAGTTCCAATTGGTTTGATGAGTTCGGAAATTGGTTAGAATATGGTGTTTCAAAAGATGCGGCTTACTGTTTATGTTGCTATCTTATGAGGCTGGATCTTGGAGAACAGGGGGTGGTGATGCATTTGTTGCCGAAGGATTCACAAATTGGAAAAAGGACAGATTACAAGTCCATGTCGGTGGTCCAAATAGTGCACAAAATGTAGTTTGGAGAAAATGCAAAGCATTAATGAATCAAGATCAACATATTAAAGTTGCCATTGCCATACAAACTGATTAAGTTAAAAGAGATTATAGAATTCATTTA